TTCCTCAGCCACTCTGGGGTTTTGTTTGAGATTTGATTAATATTTTCATTGTATAAAACTTGTTTTTTTCTAAACTGTAACGGTGTTTGCCTTTCACAGCTGTTGAAATATTAGCAGAAGTACTGATGGATCAGTAAACCTTTTCTTAAACTGTGTCCAGGTCTGTTGTGGCAGTGCCGTGGTGTGGGGCACGGGGCGATTTCAGGGTGATTTCGGGGTGATTCTCAGGGTGATTTTCAGGGTGATTTCGGGGTCATTTCAGGGTGATTTCGGGGTGATTTTCAATGTGATTCTCACGGTGATTCCGGAGTGATTTCAGGGTGATTTCGGGGTGATTTCAGGGTGATTCTCAGGGTGATTTCGGGGTGATTTTCAGGGTGATTTCGGGGTCATTTCAGGGTGATTTCGGGCTGATTTCAGGCTGATTTCGGGGTCCCGGGCCAGGAAGGAGCAGAGGCGCTGCAGGGCTGGGCCGGGGGGGGGGGGCGCATGTGTGCTGAGCCCTGATTGGCTGAAATAGCTGCAGATGTAATCCGCCTCCTGATTGGCCAAAAAACCAGCACCGTGAATCCAATCCGTGATTGGCCCAGAGGTTGAGGCGGTGCAGATGGAATCTGCTCTCTGATTGGTCGAGGAAACTGCAGCCTGCTCCACTTCCGGCCTGGCCAAAGGAGCCTCCTGATTGGCCAGCTTCAATCTTTGTACCCGCCTCTTGATTGGCCAGCTTCAATCCGCTCTCTGATTGGCTGAAAGAGCAGCAGTTTCAATCCCGATGGGCCGCAGCAGCGGCGGCGGCTTTAATTTGCATTCTCATTTGCCCACAAAGATGGGTTTTTCAGTTCGCCTCCTTCGCGGACGGAAAAGGTGCAGCCTGAATCAGTTTTCTGATTGACCAAAACCACTGTGCCGCCACTCGGTGTGGGTGTCGCGGGCTGTTGCGCGTGCGCGGCTCTGAGGGGCGGCGGTTTGGCGGGAGCGATGGCGGCGGCCGGCGGGGACAGCGACAGCGACAGCGACAGCGAGGAGATGGTGCTGACCCCGGCACAGCTGATCCACAGCCTGGAGCAGGTGCCCGGGGCCGGGCCGGGGCTGCCGAGCGCCGGGGCCGCGCTTTGACCCTGTCCTGGGGGGATGTGTGGCTGGGCTCCTCCCCGCCTGACAGCCTGCCTTCTTTCAGGCCTGGCTGAACGAGAAATTTGCTCCAGAACTGCTGGAGAGCAAACCTGAAATAATCGAGTGTGTTGTGGAGCAGCTGGACCATATGGTGAGTTCTCAGGCGGGGGTGGTGGCACAGGCAGGCCCTGGGTGCCCGGTCTGGTAAAAACATTCCTGAGGCTCCCAGGGAGTGCCAGGACTGTCTGCTTCCCTCTCTCTGAAACAAAGCTTATCCAAGTTTCTTTGAA